ATGGGAAATGCAGATATGTGATTAGTACTACTTGTGAAATGCGTAGGAGGTGGGCGGGGGGTTTACAAAGTCATATTATGCCCGTGCATTTTGCAGGATTAGCAGCATCAAAGGGAGGGGATAGGGGTAGCATTAATAAAGGGAAGGAATGTTAATAGTATGTAGCTACAGTAACTAAATAACCACGTAAAAAACGAAAGTATAAGCTACATAGTATCGAATGGCTTAGTAGTATAAAATGGCTTATCACCATTGGAACCTCCTTTGCCAGTATCAAAATATGATAATTGGTTGTTTACCCTTTTATCTGGCAACAAAACTGACACCTTTTTTTTCACAAGGAGTCATGTTTGCATTGACCACAATACCTGCGGTCGGAATGCAAACAAAAAACATAAATGTGAGACTAGGCTCTAAGAAAAGCTGTCTCGGGTGTGGACCAATCAATTTCAAGGACAGTGCATACATTATCAGAGTTATTATTGTTGCCAGATAAAAGGGTAAAAAAAACAATTATCAAGTGGCTTCTCGTCACGTGTAAATGTGTATCAGTAGCCAACTACTCTAGACGCGTGTTGATTCTAAATGTGGAGGGAAAAACCCGGAGGACTGAGACAAAAATCCACGCGACCACGGGGAGACACGCAGACTCTAAATATACAGCAGCAGGCATCGTCATGGTCGGGATCGAACCCACGACCTCCTGCATGCCAGGCGAGGTTGTTAACATCTCCTAGCCACCGTGATGATGATGAAAGAGATACACGCAGACTCCAAATATACAGCAGGCATTGTCAAGGTCGGTATCGAACCCACGACCTCCTGTACACCAGGCGAGGTAGTTAGCATCTCCTAACCACTGTGATGATGATGAGAGAGAGAGACACGCAGACTCCAAATATACAGCAGCAGGCATCGTCAGGGTCGGGATCGAACCCACGACCTCCTGTACACCAGGCGAGGTAGTTAACATCTCCTAGCCACCGTGATGATGATGAAAGAGATACACGCAAACTCCAAATATACAGCAGCAGGCATCGTCAGGGTCGGGATCGAACCCACGACCTCCTGCGTACCAGGCGAGGTAGTTAACATCTCGCACTGTGGCGACCCTGGTTGACCCCGCCCCCACACCGGATGACCTCTCTGTTGGGCACTGACCTCTTCTTGACCCTGAATGAGTGTAAGGTTTCTGGGGCTATTGCAGGGCTGCGCCTTTAGCTGCTCCAGTCACTGCAGGCTGTGTCGTGCGGTGGTTCTCGGGCGGTTACAATCGTTGATTTGCGTGACCGGTAAACCGCGTAAAAAACGGTTTTAAACCGGTTTGTAGCACACACAACACAGCAACGCGTAGAGCAAATGAAAGCATGCGCCTGTAGCTTAGTTGTTGTACTGGTAGGAACCTCCTGGTTACACCAGCCCACATGGGATTATTGTGTCCGTCATGCAGGGAGGGGCTGGGTGGGGAGGGAGGGGGTGGGTGGGGAGGAGAGGGGCTGGGTGGGGAGGAGAGGGGCTGGGTGGGGAGGGTGGGGAGGGGCTGGTTGGGGATGGTGGGGCTGGGTGGGGAGTGGGAGGGGTGGGGCTGGGTGGGGAGGGGCTGGTCACACCGTGGTGCCCTTATAAAACTCAACGTTTAACCTACTCACGCCGGCTTGTGCTCGCCCTCACAGTCGGCCATATTTGCGGAATACACCACGCCGCCGTTGACCCTGCAGGCCATTGACCGAGCACACAACGTTCCTACCAGCTCCCTCCGCAGGAATGTGTTTGTTAACTGACACAGAAGGGTGAATGTAACCGCGTGGTGGCTTAGGCCTGCCACCGTGCGGTTTGTACGTCCCCGTGCCAATCAACACAGCCACGAGTGACATTACACTCCGAATCGTTTACAGGGCGCCTGACTTTCTGAACCGTTTGGAGTGTCAGAAACCGGTTACCGTATTACCGGTTAACATCGCTCGTGTTGGGGTATAACACGTGTGTGTGTGTGTCTGTGTGTCTGTGTGTGTGTGTGTCTGTGTGTGTGTGCTGTGTGTGTATGTGTGTGTCTGTGTGTGTGTCTGTGTGTGTGTCTGTGTGTGTGGCTGTGTGTGTGGCTGTGTGTGTGTCTGTGTGTGTGTGGCTGTGTGTGTGTGTGGCTGTGTGTGTGTGGCTTTGTGTGTGTATGTGTGTGTATGTATGTGTGTGTGTCTGTGTGTGTGTCTGTGTGTGTGTCTGTGTGTGTGGCTGTGTGTGTGTGGCTGTGTGTGTGTGGCTGTGTGTGTGTGTCTGTGTTGTGTGTCTGTGTGTGTGTCTGTGTGTGTGTTTGTGTGTGTGTGCCTGTGTGTGTGTTGTCTGTGTGTGTGTGGCTGTGTGTGTGTGTCTGTGTGTGTGGCTGTGTGTGTGTGTCTGTGTGTGTCTCTGTGTGTGTGTCTGTGTGTGTGGCTGTGTGTGTGTCTGTGTGTGTGGCTGTGTGTGTGTGGCTGTGTGTGTGTGTCTGTGTGTGTGGCTGTGTGTGTGTGGCTGTGTGTGTGTGGCTGTGTGTGTCTGTCTGTGTGTGGCTGTGTGTGTGTGGCTGTGTGTGTGTCTGTGTGTGTGTGGCTGTGTGTGTTGGCTGTGTGTGTGTTGTCTGTGTGTGTTGCTGTGTGTGTTGGCTGTGTGTGTGTGGCTGTGTGTGTGTGTCTGTGTGTGTTGCTGTGTGTGTCTGTGTGTGTGTGGCTGTGTGTGTGATGGCTGTGTGTGTGTGTCTGTGTGTGTTTGTCTGTGTGTGTGTCTGTGTGTGTTGGCTGTGTGTGTTGTCTGTGTGTGTGTCTGTGTGTGTGTGGCTGTGTGTGTGTGGCTGTGTGTGTGTGTGGCTGTGTGTGTGTGGCTGTGTGTGTGTGTTAGCGGTGGTGTAGCAGTTAGCGCGCTGCTGCTATGAACCCGGCGACCCGAGTTCGATTCTCGCTCACGGCCAACACCGGTGACGATTATCTGTATTGGTGCTGGGCCTCTCCTAGGTCGACTCAGCCTCCAATGAGTACCTGGTGCGGTGTGCAAACATCGCCACCCGTGTGCGTGTGTGTGTGTGTACGTGCGTGTGTGTGTGTGCTTGTTTGTGCGTGTGTATGTGTCCGTGTGTGTGTGTGCTTGTTTGTGCGTGTGTGTGTGTGTGTTAGAGTCGTGTGAGCACAGCGTACTGCGTCTCTCCGTGCAACGCAAAGACAAAGGTCCCCCATATAGCCGTGAGCGAACTGTAGGAGCAAGTGCCGTTAGCGAGTAAGCAGCACCTATGAAGGCCGCCACGGCACGCGAGGGGGTGGGTAGCCAGCCTTTGTCTCCCGAGTAGCGATGTTTACTACACACCGCACCAGGTACTCATTCGAGGCTGAGTCCACCTAGGCGCGGCCCATGGAAGGGGAGGGCATTCACTATTCCCGGTCAGATGAATCGTTCGACTTACCACCTGCCAACACGCACCACACACCACCTGGGTTCGATATCAGGCCGTGGAAACTCCGGGAAGGGCTCAGCACCCCCTCGAGATTGGACAGCGCCACCTTGAGTCGGATCTCTTCTCACTTTTTGGTTCTTTCGGTAAAGTCGCGTATAAAGATAAAATAATACATTAAATACTAGCATACGACGTTTCGATTGCAACACAAGCAATCGTCATCAGGTACAAATGAATTAGAAACACAAATCTAGTATACTTAGAAATGTAATGTAATACAACAGAGAGTCGGATAACATAACAGTCAACACCCTACCTGGTTGATTACGTTCTTCCTGAGAATGCTAAATTTGAGAGAGAGAGATAAAGCACAGAACCAGAGACATATAGACAGACATATAAGTAGAGACAGATATCACAGAGATACATAGAGAGAGACAACACAGAGACACACAGAGACACACACAGAGAGAGACACACAACATAGACACACAGACAGACAGACATATATAAGTACAGACAGATATCACAGAGATACATAGAGAGAGAGAACAAACATAGGCACACACAAATTAAGATCAAATCTCTTCCTCACTCGCTCGCTCGCTCCCTCGTTCCTTCCCTCCGGCTTTCGCTCCACCTTTCATTCCCTCAATCAACTCCTTCCCTCGCGTCTTCCCCTCTCTCTCTCCCCTCCCTCACTGCCTCCACCAACCCCTTGGGGAGCGGAGCGGAGCGGTGGTGCAGCGGTTAGCGCCACGCTGCGCCACGAACCCCCGGCGAAGCGAGTTCGATTCCCACTCAAGAGGCCAACACCGGTGACGATTGTCTGAACCGGTCTCGGGCCTCACCTAGGTCGACTCAGCCTTAAATGAGTACAGTACCCCGGTGTGCTGGCCACCCACTCCCTCGCGGGCCGTACCGACCGTCATAAGTACTACTCGCTAACAGCACTTGCCCCAACGGTCTGTTAAGGCTATACGGGGGATCTTTGTCTTTGTAGGGATGTGTGTGTGGGTGTGTGTGTGGGTGTGTATGTGGGTATGTATGTGTTTGCGAGTGAGGTGTGTGTGTGCTTGTGTGTGTCGGTGTGTGTCTATGAGTTGTTGTGTGTGGGTGTGGGTGTCTGTGTGGGTGTCGGTCGGTGTGTGTGTCGGCGATTCGGTGTGTGTGTGTGGAGGTGTCTGTGTGTGTCGGTGTGTGTCGTTGAGTCGGTGTGGGTGTCTGTGTGTGTGGGTGTGTGTGTGTCTGTGTGTGTGTCGGTGTCTGTGTGTGTGTCTGTGTGTGTGTCGGTGTCTGTGATTCCCTTGTTAATTGTCTTCCACTTGTGTGTGAGCACATCATAAGTGGGTGACAGGGAACGGGGGGGTGGGAGTTTAAGATAGAAACACAGAGAGAGAGAGAGGAGAAAGAGGCGGAGAGAGGCGGAGAGAGAGACAGCGAGCGTGAGATCTTACCGTCACTCGCATGCGGCGCGTTCACTCTCCCTCCGTGCCACAAAAGCGAGAGAGCCCGAGAGAGAGAGAGAGAGAGCGAGAGACAGAGAGAGAGCAGCGAGATTCAACGGCAGGCTGAGACAGCGACACGAACAATGACGACGCTACGTGTCAGCGAGCAGGAGATGGGACCGCGGGAGACGAGATCCGGCTGAACGGATTCACCAACGCGACAGCGGCAGGCGGCGGAGGCGAAGCAGAAGGAGGAGGAGGAGGAGGCTATCCGGGGGATCTTTATCTGTGTGCGTTGGATCATCGGGTAACGTCCGCTACCCGAGAGCGGTCCGTCAGGTGAGTCGGAGCGACGTGGTGCGGGGAATGCGTCCCTCCACGAGGACGAGGGGAGAAGTCGCTCCCCGCGGAGTCGTTCCCGTTGTCTGCGCGCCGTGGATCTGAAGAAAATTGTAAAAAAAAAAAACACGAGGCCTCGTCTCGCGAACAAAGCCTCCACCTACTCCTCCTCATCAGAGAGAGAGACAAGGCAGAGACGGTGGCAAGGACAGCCTCGGGGAGAAGAGGAAGAGAAGAGAAAGCACAGCAAACGTCATCATCATCATCAGGAGCAGCAGCGGAGGCGGAATCATCTCTACTGGAATCCAGAGAGAGGGAGAGAGACAAAAGTGGATGGGCACTGCTGAAGGAACAGGCCTCGCCAGCCAGTCTACCGTGAGCTCCATGTGAAATCGGAGGGGGGGGAGAGTCTGTGTGTGTGTTGGGGCCAGCCCTGTGCATGGTGAGGCATTCCCTGTGTGTGTTGGGGTCTATCCCTGTGTGTGTCTTGGGGCTAACCTTGTGTGTGTGTTGGAGCTGACCCTGTGCATGGTGAGGTCTTCCCTGTGTGTGTTGGGTTCTATCCCTGTGTGTGTGTTGGGGCTAACTCTGTGTGTGTTGGGGTCTATCCCTGTGTGTGTGTTGGGGATAACACTGTGTGTGTGTTGGGGTCTATCCCTGTGTGTGTCTTGGGGCTAACCTTGTGTGTGTGTTGGGGCTGACCCTGTGCATGGTGAGGTCTTCCCTGTGTGTGTTGGGTTCTATCCCTGTGTGTGTGTTGGGGCTAACTCTGTGTGTGTTGGGGTCTATCCCTGTGTGTGTGTTGGGGATAACACTGTGTGTGTGTTGGGGTCTATCCCTGTGTGTGTCTTGGGGCTAACCTTGTGTGTGTGTTGGGGCTGACCCTGTGCATGGTGAGGTCTTCCCTGTGTGTGTTGGGTTCTATCCCTGTGTGTGTGTTGGGGCTAACTCTGTGTGTGTTGGGGTCTATCCCTGTGTGTGTGTTGGGGATAACACTGTGTGTGTGTTGGGGTCTACCCTTGTGTGTGTTGGGACTAACTCTGTGTGTGTGTTGGGGGCAGCCCTGTGCATGGTGAGGCCTTCCCTGTCTGTGTTGGGTCTATCTCTGTGTGTGTGTTGGGGTCTATCCCTGTGTGTGTGTTGGGGCTAACCTTGTGTGTGTGTGGGGTCTAACACTGTGTGTGTGTTGGGGTCTATCCCTGTGTGTGTGTTGGGGCTAACCTTGTGTGTGTGTTGGGGTCTAACCCTGTGTGTGTGTTGGGGCTAACTCTGTGTGTGTGTTGGGGCTAACTCTGTGTGTGTGTTGGGGTCTATCCCTGTGTGTGTGTTGGGTCTATCCCTGTGTGTGTGTTGGGTCTATCCCTGTGTGTGTGTTGGGTTCTATCCCTGTGTGTGTGTGTGTTGGGGCTAACACTGTTTGTGTTGGGGTCTAACTCTGTGTGTGTGTTGGGGTCTAACCCTGTGTGTGTGCTGGGTCTAACACTGTTTGTGTTGGGGTCTAACACTGTGTGTGTGTGTTTGGGTCTGTACATGTGTGTGTGTTGGGGTTAACACTGTGTGTGTTGGGGTCTAACCTGTGTGTGTGTTTGGGTTAACACTGTGTGTGTTGGGGTCTAACCTGTGTGTGTGTTGGGGTCTAACCCCGTGTGCGTGTTGGGGCTAACCCTGTGTGTGTGTTGTGGCTAACCCTGTGTGTGTGTTGGGGTCTAACCCTGTGTGTGTGTTGGGGTCAGTTCATGTGTGTAGTGGGGTTTGTCTCTGTGTGTGGTGAGACCTTACCCCGTGTGTCCGGTGGTGGAGAGCGAGCTCGGGGTGACCTACACCAATGTTGTGACCTACACCAACGCCACCCAACATCGACGGGCTTCTTCACTCTGGCTCCCCGCAACATCCCTTGGAGTCCACACGCCTCTACACCTCCTCTTCCTCCTCGCCGGCGTCGTCCTGTGGAACTCTGAACTGTTTTCACGAACAACTCATTGCTAAACCGCCCCCCCTCCCATCCCGGCCCTGCCCACCCGGCTAAACTGTGACGGGGGACGGGAGGTGGCACGGCGGCGGATAGGGGCCCTCTCCTCCGGGGAGGTTGGGCATGTGGCGATGTTGTGGGGATCCTGAGCAACTGACGAGCCGCTCGTGCTGGCCTTGCGGGTGGGGACGAGGCTGGCCTGCCGCTCCGGGAGATAGAACGCTGCTGCTGCTGCTGCTGCTGCCGCTGCTGCTGCCGGGAGGAGCAGATGTTTCGTTGAGCACGTGCCGCGGCCAGCATGGACTGTCTCTGCATCGTGACCACCAAGGTGAGTGGGTGATGGTGGGGTGTGTTGGAGGTCGCCGTTGAGAGTCGGTGGGGGTTTTGTAGCTCGCACAACCGGTTTTGGGGTCGTCCGCTTGTCCACCAACCCAGCCCGCCCGCATGTCCATCCACCCAGCCATGAACACATCTACCCACCAAACTATCCACTCATTCAGCCATCCACCCAGCCATGAACCCATCTACCCACCCAACTACCCACTCAGTCACCCATCCACCCAGGCCTTGAACCCATCTACCCACCCAACTACCCACTCAGTCACCTATCCACCCAGCCTTGAACCCATCTACCCACCCAACTACCCACTAATTCACCCATCCACTCAGCCATGAACACATCTACCCACTCAACTACCCACTCACTCACCCATCTATCCAGCCTTGAACCCATCTACCCACTCAACTACCCACTCACTCACCCATCCACCCAGCCATGAACACATTTACCCACTCAACTACCCACTCATTCACCCATCTATTGAGCCATGAACACATCTACCCACCCAACTACCCACTCATTCACCCATCCACCCAGCCATGAACACATCTACCAACCCAACTACCCACTCACTCACCCATTCACCCAGCCATGAACTCATCTACCCACCCAACTACCCACTCATTCACCCATCCACCCAGCCATGAACTCATCTACCCACTCAACTACCCACTCACTCACCCATCCACCCAGCCTTGAACACATCTACCCACCCAACTACCCACTCATTCACCCATCTGCTGAGCCGTGAACCCATCTACCCACCCAACTACCCACTCTTTCACCCATCCACCCAGCCATGAACTCATCCACCCACCCAACTACCCACTCACTCACCCATTCACCCAGACGTGAACCCATTTACCCATCCGACTACCAATACCAAGCACATGTTCCATTGTGTGTACGGGCCTCTGTGTGAGTCTATGGGTCTCTGTCTGGGTCTGCGGGTCTCTGTGTGAGTCTACAGATCTTTGTGTGAGTCTACGGGTCTCTGCGTGAGTCTATGGGTCTCTGTGTGAGTCTATGGGTCTCTGTGTGAGTTTATGGGTCTCTGTGTGAGTCTATGGGTCTCTGTGTGAGTCTATGGGTGTCTGTGTGAGTCTATGGGTCTCTGTGTGAGTCTACGGGTCTCTGTATGAGTCTAAGGGTCTCTATGTGAATCTATAGGTCTCTGTGTAAGTCTATGGGTCTCTGTGTGGGACTATGGGTCTCTGTGTGAGTCTATGTGTCTCTGTGTGAGTCTACGGGTCGCTGTGTCAGTCTATGGGTCTCTGTGTGAATCTACAGGTCTCTGTGTGAGTCTATGGGTCTATGTGGAGTCTATGGGTCTCTGTGTGAGTCTACAGGTCTCTGTGTGAGTCCACCGGTCTCTGTGTGAGTCTAAGGGTCTCTTGCTAATCTACGGGTCTCAATATGAGCCTACAGATATTAGTGTGAGTCTATGGGTATCTTTGCGAATCTACAGGTCTTTATGCGAGTCTACGGGTATCTGTGTTCGTCTATGAATCTCTATGCAAGTCTACTGGTTTATGTGTGAGTCTATGGGTCTCTGTGCTAGTCTACAGGTTAATGTGTGAGTCTATGGGTCTCTGTGCTAGTCTACGGGTTTATGTGTGAGTCTATGGGTCTCTGTGTGAGTCTACTGGTCTCTGTGTGGTTCTGCGGGTCTTTGTGTGAGTCTACGGGTCTCTGTGTGAGTCTACGGGTCTCTGTGTGAATCTACGGGTCTCTGTGTGAGTCTATAGATCTCTGTGTGAGTCTACGGGTATCTGTGTGAGTCTACAGGTCTCAGTGCGAATCAACAGGTCTCAATGCAGTCTTTGGTTATCTGTGTTAGTCTGTGAATCTCTATGTGAGTCTACAGGTCTCTGTGTGAATCTACGGGTCTCTGTGTGAGTCTATGGGTCTCTGTGTGAGTCTATAGGTCTCTGTGTGAATCTATGGGTCTCTGTGCGAGTCTATGGGTATCTACATGAGTCTATGGGTATCTGTGTGAGTCTACGGGTCTCTGTGTGAGTCTATGAGTCTCTACATGTGTCTATGGGTCTCTGTGTGAGTCTATGGGTCTCTGTGTGAGTCTATGGGTCTTTATTTGAGTCTACGGGTATCTGTGTGAGTCTACGGGTCTCTGTGTAAATCGACGGGTCTCTGTGAGTGTCTACTGGTCTTTGTGTGAGTCTACGGATCTATGTGTGAGTCTTCGGGTCTCTGTGAGTGGATACGGGTCACGGTGTGAGTCTATGGGTCTCTGTGTGAGTCTACGCGTCTCTGTGTGAGTCTTCAGGTCTCTGAGTGAGTCTACAGGTCGCTGTGTGAGTCTGTGGGTCTCTGTGTGAATCTACGGGTCTCTGTGTGAGTCTATGGGTCTTTGTCTGAGTGTATGGGTCTCTGTGTGGGTCTATGGGTCTCTGTGTGAGTCTACGGGTCTCTGTGTGAGTCTACGGGTCTCTGTGTCAGTCTATTGGTCTCTGTGTGAGTCTACGGGTCTCTGTGCGAGTCTACGGGTCTCTGTGTGAGTCTACGGATATCTGTGTGAATCTACGGGTCTCTGTGTGAGTCTACGGATCTCTGTGTGAGTCTACGGGTCTCTGTGTTAGTCTACGGGTCTCTGGGGAGTCTACGGGTCTCTGTGTGAATCTACGGGTCTCTGTGTGAATCTACGGGTCTCTGTGTGAGTCTACGGATCTCTGTGTGAGTCTACGGGTCTCTGTGTGAGTCTACGGGTCTCTTTGTGAGTCTTTGGGTCTCTGTGGGAGTCTACGGGTCTCTGTGTGAGTCTATGGGTCTCTGTGTGAGTCTATGGGACTCTGTGTGAATCTACGGGTCTCTATGTGAGTCTATGGGTCTCTGTGTGAGTCTATGGGTCTCTGTATGAGTCTAAGGGTCTTTGTGTGAGTCTACGGGTCTCTGTGTGAGTCTATGGGTCTCTGTGTGAGTCTACCGGTCTCTGTGTGAGTCTACGGGTCTCTGTGTGAGTCTATGGGTCTCTGTGTGAGTCTATGGATCTCTGCGTGAGTCAATGGGTCTCTACGTGAGTCTACGGGTCTCTGTGTGAGGCTACGGGTCTCTGTGTGAGTCTACGGGTCTCTGTGTGAGTCTACGGGTCTCTGTGTGAGTCTACGGGTCTCTGTGTGAGTCTGCAGATCTCTGTGTGAGTCTGTAGGTCTCTGTGTGAGTCTACAGGTATCTGTGTGAGTCTATGGGTCTCTGTGTGAGTCTACGGGTCTCTGTGTGAGTCTACGGTTCTCTGTGGGAGTCTACGGGTCTCTGTGTGAGTATATGGGTCTCTGTGTGAGTCTATGGGTCTCTGTGTGAACCTATGGTTCTCTGTGTGAGTCTACGAGTCTCTGTGTGAGTCTATGGGTCTCTGTGTAAGTCTATGGGTCTCTGTGTGAGTCTATGGATCTCTATGTGAGTCTATGGGTCTCTGTGTGAGTCTGTAGGTCTCTGTGTGAGTCTACGGGTCTCTGTGTGAATCCACGGGTCTCTGTGTGAGTCTATGGGTCTCTGTGTGAGTCTACGGGTCTCTGTGTGAGTCTACGGGTCTCTGTGTGAGTCTATGGGTCTCTGTGTAAGTCTATGGGTCTCTGTGTGAGTCTGTAGGTCTCTGTGTGAGTCTACGGGTCTCTGTGTGAGTCTATGGGTCTCTGTGTGAGTCTACGGGTCTCTGTGTGAGTCTATGGGTCTCTGTGTGAGTCTATGGGTCTCTCTGTGAGTCTATGGGTCTCTGTGTGAGTCTATGGGTCTCTGTGTGAATCCACGGGTTTCTGTGTGAGTCTATGGGTCTCTATGCGAGTCTACGGGTCTCTGTGTGAGTCTACGGGTCTCTGCGTGAGTCTATAGGTCTCTGTGTGAGTCTATGGGTCTCTATGTGAGTCTATGGGTCTCTGTGTGAGTCTGTAGGTCTCTGTGTGAGTCTATGGGTCTCTTGTGTGAATCCACGGGTCTCTGTGTGAGTCTATGGGTCTCTGTGTGAATCCACGGGTCTCTGTGTGAGTCTATGGGTCTCTATGCGAGTCTACGGGTCTCTGTGTGAGTCTACGGGTCTCTGCGTGAGTCTATAGGTCTCTGTGTGAGTCTATGGGTCTCTGTGTGAGTCTACGGGTCTTTGTGTGAGTCTACGGGTCTCTGTGTGAGTCTACGGGTCTCTGTGTGAGTCTATGGGTCTCTGTGTGAATCCACGGGTCTCTGTGTGAGTCTACGGGTCTCTGTGTGAGTCTATGGATCTCTGTGTGAGTCTATGGATCTCTGTGTGAGTCTATGGGTCTCTGTGTGAGTCTATGGATCTCTGTGTGAGTCTACGGGTCTCTGTGTGAGTCTACGGGTCTTTGTGTGAGTCTACGGGTCTCTGTGTGAGTCTACGGGTCTCTGTGTGAGTCTATGGGTCTCTGTGTGAGTCTATGGGTCTCTGTGTGAGTCGATGGATCTCTGTGTGAGTCTATGGATCTCTGTGTGAGTCTACGGGTCTCTGTGTGAGTCTATGGATCTCTGTGTGAGTCTACGGGTCTCTGTGTGAGTCTATGGGTCTCTGTGTGAGTCTACGGGTCTCTGTGTGAGTCTGCGGGTCTCTGGCTCGAGAGACGCTCTCTCTTTGTGCTGCAAGGGATTATGAGAGATAGACCCAGGATGCATTGCGAGCCTAGTTTACGCACTCGCTCACTCACGCTCCACATTCACAGCACGAGTGAGGGTGTGAATAGCTTTTGCCCCAACAGCCGCCCAAGGCTACACGGAGGATCTTTGTCTTTGCGTGAGTGTGTGTGTGTTGACAATGCAGTGAATGGTATTGATCAGCTCATTTGGATGCGTTCACACTCCTCTCTCTCCTCTCCTCTCGCTCCCTTCTCTCCGCTCTCGCACCCTATCCCCACTGTCCACCCTCTCTCTCTCTCACTACCCCTTTCGCTACTCCTGGCTCTTTCGGTAAAGCCACGTCGGTAAAGAAAATCATAAATATGAATGAAATAAGAGATAAAAAAAATCAA